TACAACCAGGAAGAGGACCCTCACCAGAACCTGGCCATGCTGGCACCTGAGTTTCAGCCTCCGGAACCGTGAGAAATAAATCTGTGTTGTTTATAAGCCACCTAGTCCAAGGTTTTCTGTTATAGCAGCCCAAACTGACTAGAACAGATCTTGACCTCTTGAGAGCACCTGCTGGTGAGTCTTGTCCCACCCAGCAAAAGTAGATTTGGAGAAGGAGTGAGAGAGGAGGTGGGTGGGAGAGACTTAGACCTTAGCATGTATCTCTGGATGCCAAATGGTAAGAATTACGAATGATGTGGCAACCTCAATGCATGGGCTAAAATCAACTTCTCTTATTCTAAAATGAGGCCTATTGGGAGGTAGGTCTGGTGTCTGTGAAGGGCGGATGCAATGTGATGGAAGAAACTGTCCCTTTAGGCTTGGATCATGTCAGTGACCCACACTGTGCCCCTTGGGCCAATGGTCTTATAAAACCCATAGGTCTTGACCTCAGTGCCCTCTTGATTCACTTTTCATCTTTGATCCTCATTCATTCCATCCATTCTGTTTATGATGTAACTACAATAACTACGGGGACTTTGTTTTGTCTCCCACAGAAGGAAGGTGAATTTATACTTGAGAACTTAAGAAAGGGGAAGCCATCAAAAATTGATCATCAAATTTGAATGGGGGCAGGTAGGGGAGAAAAGCAGAGAAAACGGTGGCTATTGCATGAATGGAAACACAAGTTTTCCTTCTCTCTACTCAAATCCAGGGTATGTTGTCTAGTGAATTTTAGTGCAGTTGAAGGGTCACCTCAACTGACCAGTGTGTGACTCTGTTCTGCCTAGGTGACTTGGGGGCAATTACTTAACCTACCAGCTTCCTTTCAGTGTCATTATCCACTTCCTGCTTGGGAACCGAATGGATGGTATGGGAAGTATGTTTTGCCCAGCACCAGACACGTAGGCTCAAGTCGGGGCTCGAGTAAATGTTTACTGACTTCAGTATTTAGAGCAAAGTCCCCCTGGACATATTTGCCTGAAGAACTGGTGTGGCAGGCAAAATAATGCCCCCATCCACACTCAAGAAGTCCATGTCTGAATCCCCAGAACGTAGGAATATGTTACCTTCTATGGCAAAAGAGACTTCGCAGTTGGAACTAAGAATAAACTCCTCGAGATAGGGAAAGCATCCCCAATCAGCCAGAAGGGCCCAATGTAAATACATGGTCAGAGAGAGAGGTGACTATAGAAGAAGGGTGAGAGAGAGATTTGACATTGCTGCCTTTTGCAGATGGAGGAGTATGGCCATGAGCCAAGGAATGTGGGTGGACTCTAGAAACTGAAAAAAGCAAGAAGATGTATGCTTCTTTAGAACCTCCAAAACGGACCTCAGCCCTCCTGACACTTCTTGAGCCCAGTGAGATCCATGTTGGAGTTCTTACCTACCTGGAAGAGAACAAGAACAGAAGTAACCCGCATGCGCACTGTGCTGGGAGAGACATGGGCCTTTATCCACTGGCCAAGTGCAATTATTTAAGCCAAGTGCCATAGGGGCACAGAAGAAGTGGAGATGGCTGGGGACTTATGGAAGGGTTTTGGACAAGTAATGGAAAGGTAAATGACACAGATTTGACATATTTCAGCAGATGTAGAAGTGAGATGAACATTAGTCGGAGGAGCAGCACAGTGGACGTTTGAGAGGGTCATGCACGTTCACTGGCTGGAGTGCTTGCCCCAGAGGACTGGAACTTGGGGTGGGAGGAGAGAAGAGTAGAAAGTGGGGCATCTGTGAAGCCTGGATGGAGAGGCAGCTTTGTCCACAAGAAAGTGCACAGCTTTGGGGGCAAAAGACCATGGTTGAAGCCTTGGGGTTGAGCTCTCAAAAAGATAACCAGAGGGAGCAGCTGCAACCCTGTTCCACCTAAGTGCACCTCTGCAATCTGAGCGGGGCACTTACTGAAGTGCATTCTGGCACTAATGGCCTCAGAGGATTCATTCTAAGCTCTCCTATAAGTGACTCACTGCATGTGGGCACTTTGAGAAAACACAGCAGGAAAACACCGACTTGATTATTTCTCTAAAAGAGCCTTGGAAGTAAGTGTTAGTCCATTTTTATTTATGTTACTTCCTACCCAAACCTCCAAACTTTGTACTTCCGAGGATATATTTATAAAGCCCATCAAAATTGGAGACCTCCTTTCTTTACCCCTTGCTTGACACATTTTCCTCGTGTGAGTCAGACGTACTTACCTTCCTTCTCAGTGCGGTGCCACCAACCGGGGCTGGGAGGACAGTTTGCAAGCCCTGCAGAGTGAGAAAATGTGCAGCATGGCAAGTCGACCCCCAGACTAATGCAATGTCCTGTGAGGTCCAGGCTCCCATTAGGCAGCTCAGACCTTTCTATTTTTATTCTCGGGCTATTCCCTCGTGAAACTTGCAAAGCTGAGCCATCCATGCAAACTAGGGATACAGATCCAGTCAATGAGCCTAGAGACTGAAGGGGACAGTTAACAGGTTGAGAACAACTACTCTAGTCAATGGGAAATAGTTCTTTCATCAACAGAAAAGCTTTCTTTTTCCTCTCTTTTTTAATTGACGTATAGTTGATTTACAATGTTGTGTTAGTTTCTGGTGTACAGCATAGTGATTCAGTTATGCATATGTATCATCTTTTCCATATCTTTTTCCTTATAGGCTATTACAAGATATTGAATATAGTTCCCTGTGCTATACAGTAGGATCTTTTTGTTTATCTTTTTTATATATAGTAGTTAGTATCTGCAAATCCAAAATTCCTAATTTATCCCTCCCCTCTCCTTTCCCTTTTGGTAACCATAAGTTCGTTTTCTGTGTCTGTGAGTCTCTTTCATTTCTAAACAAAGTGACATGATCAAGGAATTAGGAGATTGTAGCAATTTACCAGACAAGAGGAAATAAAGGCCGATACTTAGTTAAGCATGCAAGTAGGATTGAACTTCAGCCCCTGCCCCAACCCACACTAAAATGACAGTGAAGAGATTTTAGCTCTTCAACCTAAAAAGACAAAGGAAATGGAGAGGGGCCAAAAGCAAAAATTTTGAAGCTGGCAAAGTAGATGGATGACCAAAGACTTAATTAGCAGACCTGAGAAATGTGAGGATCTGAAAAGTAACCCAAGTTACACTACAGAATTCTCCATGAGTGAGGAATTGGTGGCTCTGTATGCCTCTGGGAGTGTAGGTGAATTTGGGACTGTAAACAGAAGAATTAATTGAAAGCTTGTTTGGGTAGAATATTGTCCTGTAGTGGGGGCAAAATTTTACCTCTACCATCTTAGGTTTTCAGTTGGAAATTTTTAACACTACAGATTAACAAGAGAAAAAGCAACAGTTTATTAATGTGAACTATACATATCAGCAAGAAAAACCTAAACCCAAAGAAATTCAAAACAGCAGCTTAGAATCCCAGCCTATGCAGCAACTTCAACAAAGAGCAGTACCTTTGTAGAGAGAGGACATAGCAAAGGAAGGCAGTTTTAGGCTTCCAAGGGCATCAAACTGTGGGAAGGTAAATTTGTGGGAGGAAATTAAAGGAGTAAAGTTTGTTTGCAGATTCCTCTGGTGCCATCTCTGGGCCAAGAGTCTGCTTTAGTAAAAGGAAATTTATATCCTGCCTTTAGGCAGGAAATGGGGAGCTTTTCCTGGGTTTTCTGTCTCTTGAATGCCTTCAGGTCAAAATAATTTTTATGTCAAAGAGGCCTATTTTGGGGCAACATATTCTGGTTTCCTTCACCCCCTCTCTTCATTCTTCTTCTATTGCATGAAGCTGAGACAATCCCCTCTTTTAACCAAGCAGATGATCAGAGATTTATTGTCTAAGGATTGTAAAATACAAGATCTTTGGACTTGGGAATACCAAGCAGATTTGACGGCAAGATTATTGTATGAAAACAGGGGCATTAAGTGAAAAGTTTACTCTGAATCTGACACCCTTTGCCTTCTTTTCCCTCTCACTTACCATTATGCTGGTAGCTAGATTTATACCATCCAAGTAGACATTGCAGGCTTTTCCCTGAGGAATCTGATCAGCCAAGAAGAAAAGCTTTATAGAAATTAATGTTAGATATTTCTCCTCAAATCTGATCTGCCCCTTGGAGATTACCTTTTAGTCAAACTCCTCATTGAAAACTCCATCTATTCATTCACGGCTTTCAAATAGCCTTAGTGAGCCATCCTGAAATATAAGCAGACACCCCAGGATCATCACAAATTTAAATAAAACCTCTGATATGGAAGATAGAGAGCAAGACAAAACTTAGAGGAACAGATGATGCAGGGAGAAGAAAGCCTCAAAGAAATTAATCGTTAATATCCTCTGAGAGACAAAAAATAATTGCATCCATGAAACAGGATTGCAAAATGGAACGGAGAACAAAAAAGAATTACTGAAAATTAAAAATAGAAATGAAAAAAAAACCCACTAGGAGTGGATGGAAGTAAAAGTTAAGAAAACCTCCCAGAATACAGAGCAACAAAAGAGAAATATTCAAGGGAGTTTAACATCAAAATATTAAGAAGTTCAAAAAGAAAAAAAAACAGAGAAACTGAAGGCAAATAATTTTTAATTATATATATTTCAATCATCTATAATAGTTTAATTATTTATATATGCAATATATAATCTGTACAAAGATATATATATCTCACTATTAAAGGACGTAAGTTTCCAGTGAAAGGGCTCTCTGAATTGAGTGCTCAGCAAAACGGATAAAAATAGACCCACGCTAAAGAACAGCTCTGTGAAATCTCAGAATGCTGGAGATCAAGAAAGATCCTACAAGTTCCCAGAGAGACAGAGAAATAAACAGTAGGAAGAGGAGAGGGAGGCTCCTACAAAGAGGATCAAGAATAAAAATGTCACAGACAGAAGTAACACTGGAGACTAGAAGGTACTGTTTTCTAACCTCAAAAACAATATCTATACATACTGTTAATCAAATGTGATTTTTAAATGTCTCAAAAATTTACCTTTTTTCAGGATGCTGCATCAGCAAAATGAGAAGTTATAGCTAGAAAGAAGACACGGTGTCCAGAGAACAGAGATTCAACTCAAGAGTTGCAAGAAGGGAAGCATCAGGATGATGGTGAAGGGAGACCTTAATGTGGGGGGTGCAGCTGGCCTGGAGTGGGGGTGAGGGGTGGGGGACGGTCTTCATGGAGCACATCTGAAGTTCCAGTGAGAGATGTCACTAAGATGCAACTGAAAGGACATCTGAGCTCTTTGAATATATTGAGAAGATGCTGACACAAGAGGGGAGAATTTGTGGTTGAATTCATGATAGAAAATCAGGCCAATGAAACTCTGGTGAAAATAAATTGTTCAATAGAGAAAGACATCATATTATGCTATTTGGATCAATAAAAGCATTTACTTGGCCATAAAAATAAAAACATTGATCCAATCAAAATTATAATACGTTTGTATTTGAAGGATGAAGATTGCAAAGTGTGTGGTGGGAGCAGAGAAAGAGAGCTAAATCTTCCTCTTCTCTTGTGAGAAATCAATAGTCAACACCCAACATGGAGAACAGTAGCAACAGACATGTGTCATTGGAAGTAAGGATGCACAGATGCCAAAAGAATCATTTAAAAGACCAGAAAATAGTTGGTTCTGGGGATGAGGAGAAGGAAGGAGGAGGTCTAAAAGTGGATGAGAGGGTGAGGTGAGGAAGGAGCAGTGGAGAAAAGAGACTTAGGACTGGATGAGAGGGATGTATAAATTTAAATCTGTAGGACTGGGCAACTGGTTGGATTAAGAAAAATAAAAGAGTAGGAGAAAGATGATCAGTGTTTCACGTGGGGTAACTGAGAAGACAGTGAGGTTACTAACAGAATTAGGAAGGCCAGAGAAGACATGGGTTATAGTGGGAGCAGAGAGGGAGAGACAATGGAATATAATAGAAAATGTAATGGCTCAGAAATGTGAAGATCCAGATTCTGCCACTTCATCTATATGACCACGGGCAGACCACCTAATCTCCATGGGTTACAGTGTCCTTACCTATGAAGTAGGAGATGGAGAAGAGCATAGTGATGAAGACCCCAAACTCTGGAACTGGATAGCCCAGGTTCAAATACCAGCAGATCCCATTCTTTTATCCCATTTACTATCCATGTGGTTTGGGCCATTTACTTAGCTTCTGTGTGCCTCAGTTTCCTCATCTGTAAAATGGAGATAATAGTATCTGCATTATATATTTATTTGCAGAAGTAAATGGGTTAATACATGAAGCACTTAGAACAAAAAGTCCTATAAATGAATTTATTATAAGTAAACTCTAAACTCTTTTTATTATAAGTAAACTCTAATGTCCATTCCACACTAAGTTTTTATGAATACATATTAGGACATGTTGTATTTGAAATGCCAGTGGAATATTCAGGGGAAGGAACAGGACAAGCAGTTATAAATATACTTCCAGAACTTGTGAGGGGAATCAGGATGATAAAAATTTGCAAGTTATTTGACTACAGTGATTGTTGATATTGGGAGAGTGAATTAGATTGCTTAAGGATAAGAGAGAAAAAAACCTGATACTACAAAATAAAAATACCCGATTGAACATAAAATATAAATGGACTAAACCTGAAAAATAGGAAGGAAACTGCAGAAGCATCAACAGATTTTCTCCCAGTAGACACCAGGTAGCACCAATAGATTGTGGCAAGAACTTGAGCCTTGGACCTGAACAGACCAGGGTTTGACTCTTGATTCGCAAGCCGTGTAAGCTGGGGAAAGTATTTATCCTAGCTAAACATACTCTACCTCAGCTGGGAAATACATAAAAGTTTATATGAATTAAATTACATATTATGAGGAACGTGTCCAATACAGTGCATATCACAGAATATACGCTGGGATGTCCTACACATACAGTGTTGCACACACAGTAGGAGTTATTTACCCCCACGAGCCTGTGTATACCTGGGGCCGTTGATGTTCATGCC